ATATATAAGTGTTTTTTGTATGCTGAGGTGTTATACTTTTATTTTCACGTATTTGAGCCCTCTTATGATTATCAGATCTTTGAGTCACGTACACTTTCAATTTTTTAGTATTGAGTCAATTCTTCTGATATTGGTCCTAATGGGCCTTCATGTTATCCTTATTGATGTGAAAATGATGAAGGCATGAAAATGGTGAAAGATCTAGCAGTTGGATTGTGTCTTTTGGCCACTCTCTTATTCTTAAAAATATGAACTTTCTTGCAATGCTAACCGTGCAAAGTTTCAATTATAAAATAAATGAAAACAGTCCCTTTAGTGTAATTGTACTTGTGTTATGTTCCACACATGTCAAGGTTCTGTTGAGCGTAAATCTCATGAACATTGGAGATGAATTTTGAGGAAAAGACAATTACAACCACGATGAAGGGTTGCTTGCAAAAATGATCTTTATTATTATCAATTACATTAACAATTAATCAAATACAACAATAACAACAACAAAAACAACAAGCCCTTATCCCACTAAGTGGGGGACATGAATCTTCTTCTCTGTTGCATCGTATTGAGTGTCATATTTTAATTTAATTCTAATAAATTAAGATCATTTTTTATACAATATACCCAAATCTTACTAGGCCTACTATTGACATCAATTTTTGATGTAACATAAGCATAATGTACTTTTGAGGATACGGAACTATGCCTAGCTTCCTGTCATCCAAGACATCCTACCGGACTTCCTAGTACGTGTCATGAGCACGAAATCAAGACCAATATTGATTTTTCCCTACCCGGGTAAAATTCACCGTGAGAGGGTTGGCTCTGACTCAAGATATGTTTAACACCTATCTCATTGTTTAAGGACCTCATCCCATCAATCCGGACTCGTTTGTGGCCAAATGGAGCCACAAAGTTCGCCCACTGGCACTACCGGGTGAGAGTTGGGGTTTTGGACTACTTTGCATCATCCATCAATGACCGCCATTTCGAGGGATTATTCTGGTATTACAACACGTTCGTAGGCATTCTACGATGGTTAGGGATCATTTCCCATTTATTCGGGACCTTCCGAGGCCAAGGGAACTCGTTCGGAACCTCCGCTACACACTCAGGGCATGAAACCAAGAATTTGAACTGACGTGACCACGCCTAGTTCTGGTATGGTCACACCAAAATGACACCAAATTGTGCTCAAGACAGATATCACAACATAATTAAGCCGCAAAAGTGGTGTAGCCACACCAAGGCACTGGCGTAACCACACTAGTTTCGGGCATGGTCACACCAGCCTTCAGAAAAATCAGGCTTTAAGCCATTTGGCTTGGCGTGGTCACGCCGAGCCAACAACCCAACCAACCGAAATTTTTGACCATTCCGTTTCTCTTTCTTGGCAACCTCCCTATTGGTCGTGATGAGTTTGAGAGGTTAAGTAGGAGTGTTACATGTGGCATCCTCCTCCCAACAAGCCAAGGAATGAATGCCATGTGGAAAAGGGAGATTATTTTATGATTTGAAGGGAAAATTCCCTCCAATTTGATTGGTCTCATGTGGCCCTAATGAACCAATCCAAAAATAAGCTGGGAGAGTTCATTTTTCAGCTAGGGATAACTTGCTAGAGTTGAAGGGAGAGCTTAAGAGTAAAAAGGGAAGGGGGCATCTTCTTCTTCCACTTCATTTCCTCCACCAACACTCATATTCTCTACATCATATCTAAGAGAGTGAGGGTGTGTGTGCTTCTTGAGAGCTGCATTCAAAGAGGAATGTTTCCTCTTGCTTTGGAGAAAGTCAAAGAAGGGCATCTCCTAAGAAGAGCTTCATCAACTCTTTCAACTCTTCAGAGAAGAAGAAAATCCATCACCTCCTTTCATAAGGAGAGCTTCATCCTTTCATTGCAGAAGGAGGAAAGCAAAGCTTCGTCACACTCCTACAGCAAGGAGAGCTTCATCCAATGAGAAGAAATGCGACATCAGCTGCCACGGTGGTGAGATTTCTTCAAACCCTTGCATTTCTCTGCTTCCTAGAGCCTCTAGGCTGGATGTGAGAGATCTAAGGATTAGAGCTTTTGTGCTAAAGGTAGACCTTTAGGTTAGGAAGCTTTCATGGACAAATCCCTAGTGGATCCTGAGTGTTTTCCCTTGCAAACCCTTAGCACCAAAGACTTATCGTCCGAGATATGAATAATCATGTGACTATTCGGCGGCCTTAACTCTTGATTAATGACTTAAGGCCAAATTATGAAAGTTGTAACCATAAGAAGAGCATTCACCTGATAAAAGAAAAATCTTATGAAAAACCCTTTGACTTTCTGCTCATTAGTTGGAAGTAGGCCTTCCGTTGTTGAGCAAAGGACTGACATCTACAATTTCATCATGCCAACTCTAGGTTCCCGTGTGAGTACGATAGGGCAAGTATGGATTGCTATCTTGCACTTTTTTGTACATTCTGTTGCATATTTCATTATGATATGTTTTGCATGAAGCATGTTGCACATGTCATTTGGCATTGACCGACCTTCATGGCCTGGGTAGACATGGCACATTCTCCTAGCATGGTCAACCTTGCACTTCGGTTTGATCAGCTGGCCCAACACGATCAACCCTCATATATCGATTCGATTGGCCGCCCCAACACGATCAACCCTCACATTTTGGTTTGATTGGCCTTCACGACACGGTCAACCTAGCATATCGACACGATGAGCCTCGCATTTTGCATGACTCATGTCGTGTATGCATTAGCATCATTTATGTGACACTTTGCAAAATCATTTGTTGCGTCTGATACACATTGTTTGCTTGCACCAATACATTCACATCTGACATTTTCACCATACACCTCGTGAGCACGAGTCCTTACATGTTTATGGCAAGTAGCCATGCTTCACTTGAGCATGATACTTTAGTGTCTCCGCCCATGACATATTCGTGTCATGTGCATATCATTTCTTTTTGCACAAGCATCTACACTTGCATACCTTTTGCATGAGCATGGGTTGCATATTTGAATTGCACTTGAGCGCTTGTCCACATACTTATTTCACTTGTGTGGGGTCTTTTTTGGGAATCAACACATCTTCGGGTCGCTGCCTCCTCGACACACCCATCCCTTCAGATCGCCGCCTCCTCGGCTCATCCATCCTTTCGGGTCGCTGCCTCCTCGGCACGACCATCTTTTTGGGTCACTACGGCCTCAGGATACCAAACTCTTCGGATCACTGTTGCCTCGGCATACCAAACTCTTCGAATCACTGCCGCCTCGGCATACCCAACCATTTAGGTCACTGTCGCCTCAGTATACCCAACATTTTGGACCACTGCTACCTAATCCGTCGAGCTAATACCTCTAAGGTACATTCACACTCTCGAGTCAATGTCTTTGCGGTATACTCTTCACCATTTCAGTTTTTGTTTGCTTGCATTTTCATTTGCATGGTGCATGAAAGCGAGTTAGGCTTGATAGGTGATTGACCCAGTGTTGGTCACGATGTTTTAACGAGTGTTTCTTGACGGATAGGTCCAGGCAAACGATGTGAGTTAACGCATCGAGAACAACACTAGTATGATTGTACTAAAGATTCAAGGGATCGAACTTGAGACATCTTGCATGTTATGGGTAATGGCCCTACTTTAAAACTAAAAAGAATCTATATTTTTTACTTATGATATCCACCATAATTTCAAAATTATGTAGAAAGCAAGCTAGGGCATATGTAAGGCCAAGTATTTTAAAAATCCATCATGGGTGACACCCTTTAAATCCATTGGATCTTTAGGACGGGACAGTGTGACAACTCCGTCAAAGTCATACGTACCCGAAAACTTTTATCTTATCCACTTAGATGCTCATTAGGACATTTTTCGTTAGGTTATGTGCTAGGCTAGGGCTAGGTTGCTAGGTAGTATTTTTGGCATCTGACTATTGTTCTATGCTAGCTTTGTAGTCCTAGCCAAGTGTCCTTTTCTACTTGTATTTTTTTTGGTGTGCTTGCATGTTTACCTTGTTTGTATATTCTCAGTAGTATATTAGGTGGGTTTTCTTGCAAAGAATCATGCCTAAATATACACACACATTCACGTGTAACAGAGAAGAGCAATGTAATGATTCATATTAACTCTTTTCTGCAGGCGCTGCTTAGCTTCTCCTGCCAGGCATGGCTCATATGTATTGCATGTTAACCCGGCTAATATTTTCCTGCAGCCTGAGTCTTTTATTTTATCATGTATTTATAAAGTTTAGGATCGAGTCTGTAACAGATCTAAAGTACGGGCACGTACTTAGAAGTGCATGACACATCAAGCCACGAGGAACCAGGACTTAGTATTAGCTACTTCATAAATATCTTAAATTCTAAGATCTTAAAGTTTACTCCTAAAAATAATTTTATTTATATCCTTTAAGTGCCACCATCTAATTTTATAATAATATCTTATTATATTTTTTATCTTCCAACTCTTCATCTTAAAATCTAAAACTAATAATCGATATTGGATAGTTAAAAATTCCATTAATTTACTTCTAAGAGTACCTATATTTGAAATAATTATCCTAATATTAGTTTCATGAACTAAGTTTTTTACCCATATCCATCTATAATATGAAAACTCTTACTTATTTAACATTTCACTCAGGCGTTGGTGCAACGATCCTTGCACACTTTAGTATATTTAAACAATACAGTGTGTCACCTAGGTCCTAGGGGATGCTTTAACATTTACAAAATGATTTAAGAGATTCATATCATAGTTTTTTAACAAAATTATTATGTTGGTTGTTGACTACCTAATGCAACCCTTCATTTTTTGCATCTGGGACTTGGGACCCAATAAAGATAGTATTTATTCTCATCATATCATATTTAATTAAAATTTTAATCTCAAAAGAGCAAGTGGAAATTGTTATAATAGTTTTCAAGATAATAGAATAAAATATCGATCTTATAAGTAGACCAACTTTAAAATGGTAAAGTCTATACATATTCATTGCTTCTCATTGGACTACCATGCCATGACAGCATTTGTGATATAGTCTGGATACTACATTTCCATGATAAAGCCAGCTCTGCTTAACTTCAACACCTCTTCCTGAATTGACTATGCAAGTTTTGTAGCTCCTGACCTCGTCTTCTATTTAATTGGCCTTGCGATGAGATATACTTCAAGTTTGCGGAAGATAACATCAACATCTCCTCAACTGGCTAGGTGAATAAATACGGTCGCGGAGGGCTGAAACCAATTCATCACATAACCCAAAGTAGAAAGCTATACTTAATCAAAATATTATGCTTACAACTACCTCTTCGATCAAGGATTTCATCAACTAGCTATGTAGTCACCAAACTGTTTTCCTTTTCAGTGTCTAGTTGTAGAATTTCTTCATACACATTACTTGAAGCTTTCAAATGACAAGTTATAGACTACCACAAGTCTCCTCTCACAGTAATAACATGTCTTCTTCTTGAGAACTTGGCTGTAACATACTACACAGAAACCAACGCCCGAAAAAAGTTCAACAAAAATAGGCCAAAGATTGTGTTTTATGTGGTCGGCACATTCACTGCATCGAAGTCAACAATAGCAGTGAATTGCCTATCTTCAGCATCCTTATGCTGTCTCCTTAGCTCTCTCAAAAGATAGAAAAAATGGCCCCGACATTTGGATAAAATGCTAACTCCCCATGTTCATCTTATCAAGGACATTCTTGAAATGGATATTCACAGAACTCCATTGCCTTGAAAATTGCAGAGCAGTACAGTGACCACAACCTAATAGCAGACAAATTTGCATATGTGAATATAATAATTAGCTACTTGGGGCCTAGAAGAGCTTGTCAAGTTCATCTAGCCCGACTGAAGTTGCTTGAAGCTTGACTAGCAAGAAGCTTCCAACTAATCTCTAAAACGTGATGTGGATAGCCCGTGCAATCATGGGTTCATTCCGAATGTCTTCAATAGGCTTCTCCTTGAGTTTCCCAGCTTTTGATTTGCTCTTCAATTAGACCCCATAGGTGTCTGCACTTCAATATCAAGGCCATGATTTTTTACGATAAACATAGTACTTATTTGACTCATGTAGATGGCCACTAGCCTGCACAAGTATTTGCTACAAAAATATTTCTTATTTTGAATAGCTTTCACAACCTCAATTGCTGAGACCCCTCAACGGAGTCACAATTACTGCATGGCAAAAAGGAGGTGGCAACCTCCTCTCTACTCGTCAATCAACTTGCCATTTCTCAAAATGATTTTGCTCCTCAAAAGAACGAATTTTTCGATTATCAAAACTTCTCTAAGTCCACCTCCAAACGTCTTATGAAATAGCCGAAAGTTCTAATGATATTGCTCCTTAATCTTCACTCCTACATACTGGGTAGTGAATTGCATTTTTCGGCAAATATACGGTTATTCGTCAGCAGCAACAACTCGGTAAGCATCCAGAGTTAACCCAAATTACAATAGAAAAAATAAATATTATTATCGAAAACATATAGATGATTACAATCAACGCACTTGAAATGAAAAATACAATACTATACCTGCAAATCAAAAATAGCAACAACCACGACACAAATAATTAAGCTACGGTATGATCTCGGGATGGTGGAGGGGATCGACTGGGGCTTCAAAGGTGGCGGTAAGGCGGGAGCACAAAACAAGCGGGCGGATATGAGAACGGAACAGAAGATCCTTGCTTTCCAGAGCGGCAACAAGGTGAAATTTGGGTTCCCGAGGGAGGGTTGTAACAACGCATATTTGGCAGGGATGTGGTGTAGAAGGACTAGGACAGCTGTTAGGTGGGACGTGGCCCGAGATGACTGGGACAACAACTAGTGGGAAAGGAAGAGGATTAATGATGGCTGAAACAGCGATGGCAGCAAGCGGGAACACTAGAATCACAGGAAATGTGGGTTGTAATGCCGAAATTGCGGGAACAGTAGCATCAACAATTGTTCTGGGCAGCTGCAACAAGAAACAACAACGAAGATCAGTGTGGGAAGGATGCCAAAAAGGATTAGGAATGATAAACACCACCTCAAAAGAGGGATACAGCCGGAGCATCACCTAAAACCTCGAATACAGTCCTCAAAATGGGAAAACAGATGTCGGCGTCTGTCCTAAACAAAATATACAAAAAACTAATTTTTTGATCTTAATTCAACACAATTAATGGAAAGAACAAAAAAGAAATGAAGGATAGTAGGAAATAAATCATAAGAAAGAAAAAAGATATTATTTTGGCACTTCTCTCATGATAATTATTCCCGCGTTACTGTAGTAGCTATAATACCGCGGTAGTTTATTATGACAAGTTCCCGGGTCACTATCATAATTATTCTGTTATTGTTCTTCTATTAAATTTATTAAGCCATGTACTATCATAAATGTTATTCCAACTCATCAATTTGTGGATCATTGTAATTATTTTGTAGTTATTATTCCTTGATTGTGTATGTTTCCTATTAGAACTTTTATTAGGATTATATAAAAACCACTCAGATAATTTGAATGAAAAATTAATCAGCTTCATTGTTGCATTACCACAATATTGTATCATTCATTACTGCATTGCCACAACTTTTCGGTGTTCATTGTTGCACTCTCTTCCTCTTAACCATTTTTAAATAATTGTAGCCATTATTGTTGCATTGTCGCAAATATTTTTCATTTGCAGCCTCCATTGCTACATCACCACAATTTTATGACTTCCATTATTGCACTCTCTCCCTTTTCCTTAATTGTCTATATCAAGCCTTCATTGTAATATCTCCGTAAAAAATTTCCATTGTTGTAGCATTCATTACAGCATTGCCGTAAATTTGTACCCTTCATAGCTACATTTCTGTATTTTTTTTTTCTTTTTCTGTGAACATAACCACAATTTCCTTCTCCATGAACAATGATAACAATACCCACATGGCTTTAATCATCAGTTCTCTTGGACTCAAGATGAAATCTAAATATAATGGGAGAGATGCAAAACATCCATTTAGCATATGGGTTGAATGGAAATAACTATCTAAAATGATTATAATTAATTAGCAGGTTCTCCAACGGAAGGAAAAAAATTAGGCCATTTACAAGACACCTAAAAAGACAAAAAGGCTTGCTAGGAGGACCGGAAAAAAATATCAACAGCAAGCATACAATTCGCTAACATTCTCACCACAATATTATGAAGAACAATATTTCAAAACTTGATATGCAAGTTTAAAATGCACAATGTTCATTCATCAATTGAAAGGTAGTGAGTAAAAATTAATCTCCCTCAATTCTGCCTCCACAATATTTAACAAAGCCCATGAATTCTCCACCATTCTTATTCACTTTATGCTACATTGGTGATTCATGAAATTATAACTATGAGCTATTGAAATTCTTCTTTTTCTAGTAAATCATCAATCGCTGACTATTGTAATTATTCTATAATCTTTCTATTTTAATCATGTTTCCTATTAAAATCTCTCCTTGGATTGTAAAAATACTACGGAAATGTTGAACTGAAAACTTAACCAGTTTTTCCCAGTTCTTGTCCAAAACCAAGATAACTTTAACAAAGTTCTCCTATCCCACCAAACCCCACTCCAAAAAAACCAAAAAATCGACAGGCCACCAAGTTTCAACATAATTGGTGGTCAGATCTATATGGAGTTTTTTTTATTTTTATTTTCCTGGACATCATCATTTTTTGGATCTTGTATTGCATTGCTGAGTGGGGAAAGTAAGGAAGATATTGATTAGATAAACGGGCTCAATCTAGGATGATCAGGCCTTCAAAGCCCCATAAATTACTTTATCAAGTTATGAGGGTCATGTTGTGCAAACCCATTTAACAAACAACTTCACTTCATCTAGGGTGCAATAAAGATAAGCTTTCCACATTCAAGATGGTTAGCTGGTCTTCATTTAGCCCCAGCATTAATGCTAGCTTTTCTGTTCTTTTCATTTTATTTATTACCAGCCTTAGCTTTATTCAAGCTTGACTAGAAGTAGTTGAGATAAAATAGATATCATAAATAATATTATTGATAGCATATAAAGGCCAGTATCTTTCTATAAATGTTGGTGCAAGTTATAGTTGCTTTTGACTTATCAAAAACGAAGGAAAAGAAAGCTCGAATAGGCTTGGCTACAGCCCTTTTGTTAATCTATTGCACGTTGCCATGTGTCTAATTAACTCCATTAGACTACCTAACGCTTGATAACTTGATAATGCCATCATGTGCTGTTGTATTGTAACATTCCATAAAAAATCTTTGACTACAATAGCTAGAAGAGCTCCTCTAAAAGCAGTGACCACGCTGACGTTTGGAACATCATATTCTTAGCAGCTATTTGGATAATCTGGAAAGAACAAAATGATAAAATCTTAAAAAAAAAGAAAGGATGAAAAATATCTTTGGTTTGCCATTAGATTGATCATGATAAAGGACGGAGGCTAACCAGTTTGAAATCCATTTTAGATTTCCTTATGTCTGGATCAATTAATAAGTATTTCAAATTGCGTTTTACTATAGTTTTATTTTATTTTTTGTAATTATTTTCCTTCTTCGTCATAGTATGTTCTACGATTTTAAATGAGAAGAGTTTGCGCAAACTTCTTCACTTAAAAAAAATATTGTTCCTAAAAATGAAAGAGATGGAATCAATTCAAAGAACCATGCAACTAGAATTTCTAGACCAAATTGGTCATGTTCTATATATATATATGCACACTTTAGT